CGCGCTCGCCCGCGCTAGTCCTCCGCCCTGACGTCTCGGCGCCACGCTCCGCCCCTGGGGTGTGGGGGACCCGCTGCCTCGGCACCCGGCTCCCGGGCTGGCAAGGGGAGCTGGGGAGGGATCGCAGACTTGGGTAGGGGACGAGCATGCCTTGGGCACCTGGGGCGCAGGCAATGGGCGAACCTCAAGGACGCACAACTGGCGCGCCTTGGTGGCCGCGCGTGCTGGGGCCCAAGCAGAGAGAGCTGGCGCCAGTACCAAACAGATGTCAGTGGAGGGTCCTCCGGCAGAACAGGACCTGAGCGCACTTCCTGAGGTGAGGGCTGGGGCCCGGGAATGTTCTGAACACCCTCTAGCTCAGTCCAGATGCTGGGCTCCGCCTGAAGACTTTGCCATCAGGGAAGGACTGCCTGGACCACGGGCTTTAGATGGCAGGCTCCTCAAGCATAAAGTCACGGGAGGCAGGTTATGTCTCAAATAGGGCACTCTCTTGGTGAGGCCAGATGTGGCTCAGACAGCTGAGTGTTTTAGTCCTGGGTACCTAGCCAGGCAGAGTTTGGTAATTTATAATCTGCTGTGTGGCCCTGGGAACACATTCAGCCACTCTGAATCTCGTTTCTCGTCTGATAAAAAAGCAGGAGCACCGAAGTTACCCCCACGAGTTGCCTTAGAAATGAATGACTACAGCATACGAAGGTACTTTATCAAAGGTGCAGCAGACATCTGCTGCTGATGTGACACCTGCGTTGGAAAACTCAGTTCTCTACACTGCCACAGATCCAGTAGGATCCGGTCACTGAAAAAAGTAGGATCTGATTGCTGAAATACTTCACCTATGTTTTATCCAAATAGGAAACCATACGTTCAAGTGGGTCTTTCAGGACTGTTGCTGGGTAGCATATGAGAGGTGAATAAAGTCTGATTCAAAAGAAAATGAAGGGGCTGACCAAAGAGCTCAGTGGATTAAAGCACCTGCAAGCAGGCACAGGGTCCAGGGGTTTGATACCCTGGCCTATGGTGCCGGCCCAGCCCTCAAGGCCAGTTAAGATGCCAATTGAGACTGGACATGGTGGCTCACCTGTAATCCCAGCTCTTGGGAGACTATAAACAGGTGGATCACTATGAGTCTGATCTAGTAGTGAGACCCTGAACCCTCTGTAGACCCTTCCCTAAAAAAATACAAAAAAGAAAAGAAAGAAGAAAGTGAATGTTAAGACCAAACCAGACACCTCTGAACACAGAAGGTGGACCTGCTACAATTTCCAACATATGTCAGCAAACTTTCCTCCACAAAATAAAAACAACTCCACTGTAAAAAAAAAAAAAAAAAAAAAATCAACGTGGAGCTTCTTAAATTCATAATTCTTTAAATGCAGACTTAGGATGCTATTTTAAAAGATGTAGGCCTCAAATCTCCTCAAATACCAAATTCTTCCCACTCAGCTAAGTTGCCCTTTCAGTTTTCAGGGCAGTTTTACCTGTTTTTTGGTGAGCAGTCCCCACTCCGACAGAGGGTGGGAGCCCTGAGTTTCACCAGCCCGAGACCCTTCTTTACAATGGGTGTGGATGCCACTGTGTGCACCCCAGAGCCAGGCCACCCCAGTCTGACATCCCAGTCTGGCAGGTCAGAAACTCCTGCTTTCTGGTTAAGACCCATCACTTTCTTAATTTTTTTTTATTTATGTTTTTGGTACAAGGTCTCACTGTGCAGCTTAGACTCATAGTGATCCTCCTGCTTTCAGCGTCCGCAGCACTGGGATTACAGGCAAGAGCCACCATGCCCGGACTTAGTCACTGGCTCAGCAAGCCCCAGGAGTGGAGCCGGCATCCATCACTTTCTTCAACCGCTTCATTTTTCTTCCTTTCCAGTACAAGCTCTCACAGGACAAGCTATTGGCAGGGTTGCTCACAAATAAAGTTGTTATTAATTCTATAGAGTGTGTAACCCACAAAAGCAGAGACAACCAAGACCAGAGAGGCTGGCAGCTCAGCCCAAGGCATAGACCTGGGAATTCAACCCAAAGCCAACCCCCTCAGAGCCATGTTTCGAGCCACTAAGCAACAGGCTCAGCAGGCGTGGTGGGTTGCACTGGGCCCCAACAGAAGTGGTCCTTCCCCCCAGGTATATGGGCATCAAAAAGGAAAGATGGAGCACTACAATATAAATGTGGTTAATGTCACTAAACTCTGCACTTAAAAGTGATTAAAGTAGTGTATTCTATGTAATGTTTATATGACCACAAGGAAATGTTAACAGCAGTGATAGAAGGGGAGATAGGGAAGGAAAAAGGCCTGAACACCCTTTTAAGGTGATCAGTTGGAAGGATCTGAACTTCAGACTAGAAGAGTCAGGGTCAGGCCACATATCTCACTGGCATCTTCTTAACAATTCCAGCTAAAAACTGAAACTAGTCAGGATGAGAAAATGTAGCAGGAAGGAAGAAAGCTCAGAAAAGGAGTCTTCATCCATCTGAGAAGTAGATAGAAAAGTCAGGAGAGAATGTAACAAAAGCCATAAGGAGGGCAGGGACTATCAGCAGGGTCACAAGCTTCTCAGTGGTAGAGGAGGCTGCAGACTAAGAAGAGGCCATCAGCTTCAGCAATGAGGCAGGCAGGGGACTCCGGAGGGCATGCATGTGCTGTGTCCAGAAAGTGAGCCAGAAAGTACTCAGGAATGTCTAAAAAAGGATGAAAGGTGGGAAGGGTCCTCCAGG